GCTTCTGGTCACGCTCAGCCACATCACCCTGCAGCTGCTCAATCTGGCCCTGCAGCTCCGCCTGCTTCTCCTGGGCAGCTCGGGTGTCTCGGCGTACCGCTCCTCAAGGTCCTTCTGTGCAGCAAGCATCTCCTCCAGCTTCTGGTCACGCTCAGCCACATCACCCTGCAACTGCTCAATCTGGCCCTGCAGCTCCGCCTGCTTCTCCTCGGCAGCTCGGGTGTCGTCGGCGTACCGCTCCTCAAGGTCCTTCGAGACGGTGTGCATCTCTTCTAATTTCTCTTCACGGTCCGCAAGATCTAAACGTAGCTGCTTGATCTGGCCCTCTAGCGTGGTTTTCATGGTCGTGGAGAGATCCTCGAGCTCAGCGAACGCAGACTGCATTTCTCCTAAACTCTCATCAGCTCTGCAAAGTTCATTCTTTGTTTCTGACAGCGATGCTGTGAGCTGTTGAATTGAGGTGTTGGCCTTGTCGAGTAGTTTCTGCAGACTTGACACCTCGTCATTGTGTTCTGCCTGCATGGAAGCGATAATCTCATTGTGACGTAATTCCTTTGTCCTCATCGTATCGGTGTACTTGCGAAGATCCTCTGTCATGAGGCTTTCAAGGGCATCCTCATGCTCTTCTTTCAACTCCTGCATCCTTGTTTCTACCTCTTTAAGTTTGTCCTCAAGGACAACCTCGTTGGGGTAGAGAATGCGCCGTTGTTCCTGCAGCTGGGCGTCAGCATCAGTCAGAGTCTTTTGATGGCCCTCAATTTCCTCCTGCAGACGAGCAATTATATCTTCATTGGTGGCCTCCATAAGCTGCGCCTCAAGGATGGCAATTTTCTTGAGCAGTTCCTCAATGGTGTTTTGCAGCTGATACTCGGCGTAGAGCGCTTCTTTCTTCTTTAGGTAGGCGTCACGGAGCTCTTCACTGAGCTTGGAGGCGCCTTCATCCGTGGCATCAATTGGCTTCACGGTGTTGATCTTCGCGTGGGTGGTCATCTGCTTGGCGCGATCGGCGAAGCGGAGCGACTGTACGCTGAGATGGGCGTCATGCGCACTTGGCGCGATGGTCACCAGCATCGCCGACACACTGTTGCCGCCAAGGTACTCCTTTAGCAGCCTCGTCAGAGTGCTGTTGCGGAACTCTGGAATATTTTGGTTATAGCCCTTGCGTGTCGCCACAGCCTCGATGCAGGAGCCCAACGCAAGCAGCGAAAGGTTGATGTTGCGTGCCTGCTCAAACGGAAGCCCAGTCTCGGTTTGAGCGATTTTGATGCGCTCAGCGCCGGCAAGGTCCGCAAGAAGTAACTTGGAGATGCGGGGGACGATGTCTGTCGACTCGAAGGAGGTCTGCACCTCCAGCTGGAAAAGTGTGTGGGCACGAGAGGAGCGGTCGTGAACGGCGGTCGCCGCAAACGTGCGAAGTGGCTCCGCCTTCCGCAGCAGCGCAGCAATATCCTCATAGCTTCGGACAGGAATAGACCTTGCACCAACCACATGAAAGGAATTGTCCGTGTAGTTGTTACGGATGGAGACCATCCGACGATGGTTCAGCAGGTCAAAGACGTCCTCAAGGTAGACCTCCAACATGGACGCACACACGCGGTACGTCACCCCTTTCTGCGAGCTGGCGGCGGCGCGTGAGAAGATCATCTCACATACGCGTGGAATGAGACCCTCCTCCGGGGTGCCAAGGGAATTGGGGGGGCCAAACGCTGTGTACGTCTTACCGCTGCCGGTTTGCCCATATGCCATAATAGCGGCGTTGTACCCAGCCAAGGCATTCTCAACTAGCGGTCGACCGATGACCTCAAATACGTCTTCCTGACTGGAAAACGGCTTCGTACCGGCGTTTTCGTTGCTCCAAAAAACCCCGTCGAAGGTAAAGGTGAAGCGACCTTTCTGAGGCACCAAAACATCCACTGTATCATCCTTCATGCGCACCGCCAACTGTTGCTGGTCCTCTGCCGTCTCATTCGCGGCGGAGGCACGCACACGCGCGTACACGTTCACGCGACCGTTGCCTCCCGTTTTCCCTGAGAGTGGTCGCATGTGATGATGACTGCTGCCCCCACCCCCACTGGTATTCCCAATGCTGGAGATGCTGCTGCTGTGGTTGTTGTTGGCACCAGAAAGACTAACACCCGTTCCGGTGCGTCTGAAGGACTCAGGGCGGGGAAGTCCAGGTCGTGGCCCGCGTGCCGATGCCGGCGTGCCACCAGGTCGCGGCGGTCGTTGCATCGTTGGTGTCATGCCTGCTGGAGACCTTTGGCTGTTTGGTGTCGTGTTTCGCCTGGGTGTGGAAGCACTTGAGTAGGTGGAGATACGCATCGGTGTTGCGGTGGGCGGGCGCGGCGGCACGGAGCGTCCCGAGTTTAACCCGGTGCGGCTCGAGTTGGTACGTTTAAAGTCCATTCCTGGTAAGCGCGAAGGAGCGGGCTACTTTCCTCTTGTTGCTACTGGGGTACAACGCCGGATGAAGGACTCGCACAGAACGCAGCGAAACAGATGTACAAATAATAATCGCGCGTCTGAAAACAAGTAGATCTACGAGACCTCTACCGAGTTATTGTGTGTTTGTTTGTTTGTTTTTCTCCTTTTGTTATTTCCTTTGTTATTTTTATTTCAATTTCTCTTGCCTTATTGCGTACTTGCTTCGGATCTGCCTGCTGCTGTTTCCGAGTTTGTTGGCTTGTTTTTCCGCTGTGTGCTCTCTTTCTCTCTCCCTCTCTTCCACGGGGAGTTGTCTCCTTCAGGCCTAACGGAGAAGTGCTTGCAGAGCGTGTGGTCTCTTGTCTTGTGATAGAGGCTTGCCGTGAGCAAAATGAAGAGGAAAGGAAAAAGAAGAACAAGATTGCACCCGAACGCAGACACGTATGTGTGGTGGGGAGAAGTGATCAAAGCACACACACGCACACAGACAGAGAGAGAGAGAGAGAGATAGAGGGAAAAAAAAAGACAGGAAGAAAGAGAGAGTGAATCTGCACGCACGCGGAGTTGGCCCCACAAAAACAACCGGTACTACATGTCACCCATCAAATATGTCCATGGGAAGATTAACACGCAAGTACATGCAAAGGGATGTATATAGAGACAGACGTACGCATCAAGAATGCGAGGAAGCAGTGGCGTCAAAAACCGACCCCTAACATCATTCCACTTCATGAATGAAGCGGTCGCACATACCCAGGGAGACGGAGGCCCCAACCCCTTTCCCACCCCCACCTTTACCTTCCCACTATGCACTTTTTGTTGTTGTTGTTGTTGCTGCTGATGCTGCTTGTTTTTTTTTTGCTTTATTTTCTCTCTAAGACATCTACACGCACACATATACCCCCACCCATGCATGCATGAAACTCACACGGCAAGGCTGAACAAAAGCGAGAAAATGGCATGAGGGTGCCTCGCAACGCACTGTGCATTATCATGCCTTCCATCTGTTATACCCCTCCCCTCCCCTCCTCCATCCCTCTCTCGCAGCGGGAGCCACTGGAGCACTATATCCGTTACCGCTGAAACATAAATTTCCGCTTCACACACAGTTCGACAGACACACACGCAGGGAAACGGCCAGTGCGAAGGAAAGGGAGGGGGGTGGGAGAGAGAACAGAGGAGGCAAAAAAGAACGGCAACGACAGAAGCGGCACACCACACACACGAAAAAATGTGTGCGCAGCAATAAGTGTAAACGAGGATAAACGACAACGACGGATAAAAAAAAAAGAGAGAGAGAGAGAGAGAGAAGAAAACTACGACCGCGAGTCACCGAATCGGTGAATGAGATACCGGCGCGTCTGCTTCGCCGTCTGCGCCGCCTCCGTGGCACCCTGAGTGCCAAATGTCTGCATGAGCGACGAGACAACAGTTGGGAGCGAGGTATTGAGCACGATGGTCACGTTCGTCACCAGCAGCCCGGCATTCACCGGGTAGTAGAGCAGCACAGAGCGAACCTTCACGGTGGAGTCCATTTTGTGGATGTTCCGCTTCGTTCGCTCAAGCAGCAGTACCTTCGCAGGCACCATCCCGTCCACGTCCCTAAACTTCTGCAGCGCCACCGAGTCAGTAATCGCGCTCACCTTCATCTGGATAGTGATGCTGAAGACAAACCGGATCACGGTTTTTACAGTTCGAAACGTGTGTATATCTTCCGGGCTCTCAAATTTATTATTCCCTGGCTGGCAGTTGCGCTGGTAGTCCAGCGACGCCAGCAAATCAGCGTCCAAGTGGGAGAGGCGAACGCCAGGAAGAAGGTACATCGTCTTCACCAGGATACTGACGTATTTATTCTGCTCCTCCGGAGAAAATATATGAATTTTGGGGACATTGTTCTCCTGCACCTCATCCGCAAAGCTGCTCTCATTGATAAAGGTGTTGATAAGCTCAAGACTGTCAGTCCCCAAGTGTCTGACAGGACTGCATACAAATCTAAAAAACACATTCCCTGTATTAAGATGAGTTGAGGCCTCAGGAAGTGAGAGGAAGTCCCAGGTGTCATGTACAACCTGGGCCTGAACACTGGCTGTGATGCTAATCTCCCTCGCCGTCAGCGCCAACAGCTGATAGTGCTCCGCCACTGTTTTGGATCTTGTAGTCGTCTCGAGTGCCTCACTAGGTGAAAACATGACCTCCTGTTCATCGCCCTCGCATCGGCGACCCAATACCCCCTGAAAACCAGCCCCATTTTCCCTTCTTTTATCGTCCTCCAGCTGCAGATCAATGTCTTTGGCGTGTATTACAAGCACCTCCCGAGCTGAATTTCGTTTCCTTGACTGTGAGCCTTTACGCAATCGCCGAAGGGTGGGCAAAGCGCCTTTCCACCCCAGAAACATCATAGTATTATTCATCTTCCACACGCCATATATATCTTGACGCGACATTTGCTCAAGGTCTACCAGGCGTGCTATGCGCTCCTCCGTACTATGTGCCTTATCTATGTACAGTTTCTCTTCCGCTGTGAGTTTGGCTGCGGAGGATCCTCCAATTCGATAGCGGTGGCCGCGTGTTTGGTTAAGTGTGGAGATGGAGGTCTCGAAAAAACTATCCTCCAACGTATTGGGCGGCTCCGCATGTGTCACCTCGCATATGCTGGAAAGAAACCCTTTGACGTGATCCGGTAACACCTCATTCATTCCGTTCGTTAAGAAGCTTCGAGCCGCATCATCGCGAAGCGTGCCGGAGAGACTCTGACCCTTGCAGTCGGCCATGGTAAAACTAAACTCGCTCACGGTGTGGAGGCTGGCATTCATGAAGAAGGCACCCCCAGAGGAGCCCCTTCGCATCATATTCAACGTCAAATCGCCGGCGTCTTCAGGGGCGATGATGTCAAACTCCACAGTGGGCATAGGAGTGACGGAGACTTTCGGGTGCAAGGCGCGGTGCTTCCGCCCTCTGTCGTCCACGACCGGCATCGCACTCCTGCCACAGCAGAGTCCCATCACGCGAAACAAGTCCTAGACCCTGGTACTGTGCTATGGGGGTACAAATGGCAATTTTTTTTTTTTTACAAAAATGTCTTGAGCAACGGCGTGTGTAATATAGTATACATGGGGGGGTATATAGAGGTCCGTATGTCAGCCTTGCCTCTTATATGCAGGCAGAAACTACGGTGAGGGAGAGAGAGGCAAGACAGAGACGCGGTCTTAAAGGGCAGGTTGGAGGGGCCACGAGCGAGATGACGCCCTGTTGAGACGATAACTCGAGCCACGCACACATACACACACACACACACCCGTAGAGGGGGGAGCGGGACAAAAGAGAGAAAGAAAAAAGGGCGCAAGTATGACGCAGCGTGGCGTGTGTGAGAGATGTACAATGCACGGAAACACGAAAACGTTACGCGCCCGGCGTTCATCAAGCGATGGGTGCCAAACTCAGAAGAAGCGGCCAAGAAAGAGATAGGTCGATGCCCTGTTATCATCAAGCCAGGAGCTCCTTGCTGATTCCAAACGGCAGGCGGCATACCTTATCATCGCTCTCCAGAAACACAACCGTCTCGTCTTGCGAGTTTGTAGCCAAAATATTTTTCCTAATTCCCTCCGCGTGGTAGAATCCCCAAGGCAGCAGCACCTCGCCCCCGCATCCCCGTTGAAGCCACTCCACACATCGCATCTGGGCGGCCTTCGCCACCTTTCGCTCCCGGCTGCCGCGCACTGCCGGGTCGGCTCCAAGGCGACTAAAGGGAACAGAAACGCTCCCGCTGCTGCCTTTCTCCGCCAGGATCGCCGCCACTTCATTCATGTTGAGATCCGCGTCGTTGCGGAGATGCGAGCCAACAAGAGCGGCCATCTTTGGCTTAAGGTAACACTCCTGCAGCCGCACTGTTGCCTGCAGTTTCACTAGGGCCCCGTAATTCACAGCAAGTTCCTCGCAAATCGTTTTTATCGTCTCCTCATCGTAGAGAGTGTTCTGATCTGCCTTTTGCAGCATTTCCGTCTTCAGATTTTGGTTGTGTGCAATGGCAAAATACTCTTCCATCTGCTGCACCTCGCTCTCTTCCGTGTCACATATCCCCTCCAGCAGAATGACGAGATTATCCCGCTCCTTCACCGCCTGCACCATGTAATCCAGCAGCTTGTCGTAAAACTTCACCGATGCCACATGGAGGGTAGGGATGAGGGTGATGAACGGCACCGGCGCGGAAGGGGACTCGGCAGGGTCCTTCTGCGCTGACCTTGCAAAAAAGCGGGACCAGCAACTTCCAGTGAGGGTGAGCTCATTAAACGGTGTGCGCAGCAGCTGTACACGTCGGAGCATGTCTTGCGCCCTCCTGCTGACCCGTACCCAAACAATTTTCTCACTGGGGAACGCGTTGTGCCGACGTCAATAAAATACTGCGGCACACAAAGCTGCCTTGTTGTTGCTGCTGATGTCGTTTTAGTCGTTCAGATATCTACGACTCCACTCTCTAATGGCTTCTCAAAGAGGGAAAAGAAGAAAGAAGTAATAACAATAAAAAATGAAAAGAATGAAAGAGGCATAACGCAACATGCTGAGAAAACAAACGATGTGTTTGTGTTTGTGCGATGCAGAGCAGACGGACGTCAACGCAACATACAAGTAGAAAAACAACGTCACAGATGCAAGCATAAAAGAAACGACAATAGGCAGCGGTGTGAGTGGTCACCGAGGAGTGAGAAACACGTGGCAGCAAGACACTGATGATGACACACGCAAAAACGTCATTGATAAAAAATTTCCCTCCCCCTCCCCCCCCCCCCCCCTCCGTCCCCACAGACGCAGAGAAACGAAAGATCCACAACGCGGCGGCTGCACAGAGGCACACAGCAAGCCCCATCAGCCGACCTGAGCACTATGTCCACGAAGTTTGGGCAGCAAAAAGTTCTCAATACGCCGCTGGTGTTCCACACGTAAGCCTGGCAGTTGCTGCAGCAGCACACACAACTCTGCGGCATCTTCCTTAGACACCCCCACCTCACGTTGAATGAGTTCCTGCACAGCTGCACTAATGGCAGCGTCCGCCACCAACCTGCCCAACGGAGCACAGAGTTGCACCAGTACCATCAAATCCATGTAGGTGTACCGCGGCAGCGAGGCAATAACCCTCGACGAAAGAAGCTCCAGGCATCGTCCTAGCAGCGGAATGTTACTCGTCAAATGCGCCACGTGACCGCCGATATCCTCGACGGCCCTGCTGAATACCTCCAAGTACTGCAGTTGTACTGTGGGTAAAAAGTACGCGGTGGCAGATTCCATCTGAAGTCGCATCTGATCCATGAGCTCCCGCAGGACGTGCACTAACGCCGTCTGACGCTGCTGCGCAAACTGACGCTCCTCAACATGGTTTTTCGACGCGGCTGCCGCAACTCTTCTATCCCCATGGGAAACAAGATACACGGAGGTGTAATCGTTCATGTAGACGGTGAACACACTGAGCAGCTCGCTCGGTGTAAAGTCTGTTGCAAGGAACACCACTCGTTCCTCCATAGCCTTTGAAAAGCCAGGCGTGGTAGCTACAGCTGTAAACATCATGGACGTGGATCTGGCGCAGGTTTCCTCTAAGCGGGAGAGAAACACATGTACAGCGTTTGCTTCTGTAGCGGTATCCAGCGTGTCTCGTAGCTTCAAGGAGGTGCACATAACCGCAATGTCCATCACACTTAGCTCGGCCAACCCCGCCACTGCCGTCTGCTTCATACGATCAAATAACAAATCAAACTGGTGCTGAATCGACGTTGAGCTGGTTCCAAATGTATCCATGAGCTCCACCGCGCGAACCGGGGTGAGACCACCGCGTCCAACCTCGGGCTCAATGGCCAGCATCAAGTTATGTATAAGTTCATCCGGCACCCCCGCATCACACGCGACGGCGACTTGGATGCATTCCTCCAGCGAAAGCTCCGGCACTACGGCGACGAGAGCGCGGGCCACGTGTTGATGCAACTCGGTGCCTTGCTTCCGCAGCGAGGAGAGTGAGGCGAAGACGTGTACGAGCTCGACGGGCCCAAGTTCGTCAAGCTTTAGCAGCAACTCCTCCATCACACGATCCATCTGGGCAGTGTCCCAGAAGCCAAAGAAGGCGCCGCACTCGACGTAGGCGACCATGTCCTCTGGGCGCGCGTGGCGAATGTCGCAGAGTTTCCCAGAAAAGTACTTGTACTCGCCGCGCAGGAGGCCCTGCTCGTGAAAGTCGTTTGTGTCAAGATAGCGTGACTTCACCCGCACCATGCGACGGGCGATTTCGGCAACTGGCACTGGACGCTCCGTTAGCAGGTAGTTGCGCTTCGTCTTCTCCAACTCGACGAGTGTGCTCTGCCGCCAGAAGACATACCCAGGGGTTCGCTTGCTCCACAGAACACGCGTCCGCAGCAGCATTGTATCGACGTCTGCGCTCCTTGACTGGCTTCTCTCTCCCGCCCCCCGCTACTCGCTTGGGAATATTCCCCTCTGGAGTGGTATGCCCGCCCAGCCCCGTTGTTTCCCTTCCCTTTTCCCCCTCCCCCGCTTGAGACGCCGCGTGAAGCACACTCGACGAAGTACGAAGAAGCCGCAGCAGAAGATAAAGCACGGAAGGGTGAACAGAGTAGACAGTATTCAACGAAAAGTAAGCAGCACAAACATACACACACACAGAGAGAGAGAGAGAGAAAGAAAGAGGAGGACACGCATTCTCCGTGTCATGGCCTCACAAACGTCGATAGAGCGTCTTAAGAAGGTTGCGCAGCTCTTCTTCTGAGATTTGCCGCGTATGACTTCCGCGCAGAATCACAAAGACGCTAAGGACTGTCATCCACGTCTCAGTGTCGTCCTCATCCTCAAGGCCCTCACCAAAGTGGACCTCCACCCAAACCACCTACGGCACCCCCTCTTCAACGTGTGCTTGGTTCATCGAAGGGTCACTCACCCCACTGCGGCAAATGGCCCAGTAGCGTTGCAGGAGCGCCGCTTCCACTACCCGCATGCAGTCCACAAGTCGTGGTCCGTGTCCAGGTTGATGTCGAGGCCAATCGTGATGGGCGGGCTCGACGACAGCACGCGGGAAAACGCAACGCCAAGAGAAAGGAGCGAATCCAGCGAGACACATGCATCACCCTCCGCTCCCCCACAACAATTCCTGCAGGAAACTTTTAAACACAAGCGGGGAGGCGGAGGAACGCAAGAATGTCAACACGTTATCGTCCCATTTTTCATCATATGAAAAATATACTCACTGCACCAAACCTCTGTGGTGTAGTGTACAAAAAAACACAATACTGCCATGCAACCCAACTCTGCACTGCGGAGAAACACTCCCCTCCTCCCCACGCGCGCGTACTCGCGTGGATCACCACAGCTCCCGGTCAACAAACAAAACAAACGGCAGCTCAGACAGCCGGGTGACAACCTCCATCAGCTCCTGCGTTCCTGCATCCTCCGGCGGGTAGAAGACGCAGCGATCGCGATCGTAGAACTTCCACACCCCGTCGCCGTTCGCCCAGCAGGTCGTGCCCTCCTCGCCTTGAAAGAATATCCGCAGGAACGCGGCAAGTACGTTGCGGTTGAGGCATTCGATTAAGAGCATGCGTAGCCGCAGGTCTGCCAGTTCATCTTCACTTAGGCGCTGAAGTTTTGTGCGTTGTCGGCCCGTAACATCTGTGACTGCCTCCACAAGCGGGATGACGCCGGATACCGAGACCCCACTGAGGTCCCTGGAGCCATGCTGCAGACACGCACCGAACTCCAACACGGCATCCCACACACGGCGGGTCCGCACCAAGTGGTAGATAGGGCGGAAACCCGCGCGCATCAGCGCCACCACAGCAGGAAGCAGATGTTCCTGTACAATTAGACCGATCTCTCTGTGTACCCCCTCGTCAAATATTGCACGGGCATCCTCGACGGACGGGCACACGCCCAGCGCCGCAAACTTCCCCGAAAAATAATTTGACAACACACTCGTCGCAGAGCGCATCAACTCTGCACAGCTTTGCAACGCCGCCTTTCGGGGCACCTCGCACGTCCCCTGCTGCTTCCCCCTTGCAACGCTGTTCGTGAGCTCATCTGCAGGTGTTTCATCCACGATCGACATGAGCGTAAACGACGTGTTTGCGTTCACGACGACCCCATCCGGGGCCTCACTCACCATCACTGACCATTCCGCCTGCTCCCCCATGCGAGCCAGTGCTAACAAGTCCGGGAGGCTTTGGTTTAGCAAGGCATCCTCACAGAGAACCTCGCCTCGCACTTTTGCACCAAGCTGGGCAATTTCGTGAAGTATCCGCTCCAACAGCTTCCGCTGAAACATGTAGGCAATAAGCAGGAAGCTGCTGCTCCGCCCTTGGGTGGTGTTATACTTCTTGACACGCCCAAAGTCACTCAGTAAACGGTTTGTGTAAAAATCTGAGTGGTCGCGTGAAGTGTTGTGTTGGCTGACAAAATGCAAAAAGTCAAAGCAATCACGCTCATTTCGGCGGAACACGCCGCCAGACGGTTTTAGGCGGTGATGAAACACGTCATGCCACAACTGAGCAACATCCATCATGCGTTTATGCCGTCGCTCTTGCAAGCAGGCGTTTGACAAAGAAAGGCCCGGTTCAGTGGGCTGCAGCATCTCCAGCGTTACGGCATGCAGTTGCCCAAGTAATCGTTCCGCCGCGTCGCTAGAGCGCGCGTCATACACGCGAGAAAGCGTAAAGGTACGCGGCGTCTCATCCTGTGACGCGTCCAGCCCCAGTTCCGGAGAAGGACTTCTGCTGCCACTGCCGGCGCCTGGCGTCGCGTACTGTTGGGCCTCCATTGCCGCGACGACTTCCATGGCACCTTCCACAACATCGTCCATGTACCCAAACGACTTTGCTGCGTCAATGTGCGTTTGAAGCATCTCCCGATTTTTTAGCGCGAAAGCGGTGTGGATGGCGCGGTGCAGCTTAGCCACCCACTGGCGTCGCTCGCGAGAGGCCGACCACAGCTCTCGTACTTTGACAATGGTTTCTGCATTCAGCTCAGAGGCATGCAAACGCACATACGTCACCAGCTCCTTCGCCTTGTGCGCTTCAATCAACACCAATAGCTCTGGTGGAACCGCAGCCACCACCATCCCTCGCCCTTCCACCACTTCCTCGCCCAGATTCTCCGCTGCAGCGACCTCCGCGTCATTGTTCCTAGTAACGGGAGAGACGTAGGGCTCCGCCTCCTCTTCATGGCCCGCCAGAAACGCCTGGCCACGCGCGGCGGCCATCTTGAGGTCGTTGAGAATTTTCTCAGTCATCTGCTGCGCATCGCATACATGCGTCCGGCAGCTATTATAGTTTAATAACCCCTCCTGAATCTTCTTCTGAAAAAAAACGCACTGTCCTATGCACCTCCGCGCCTCTTCCGTGTTACCCAAACGAATACTCTCGCGCATCGAGGCACACAGCTTGCTGGTGCGGCCCTGCCATATCAACAGGTAATCCATACGCCACTGCCCAATCATCTCCACTTGCTGACGTCCCCGCTCTTGTGTGGCATGTCGTTCGTCTACCTCTTTTTTTTGTAGTTCCTCCATGTAGCGGTCCCCGTCCTGTTCAGCTTGCGTTTGTAAGGAGTCACGTAGAATGAGGCGGTGCTCCTCCTCCTCAAGAAGGTGTAGTTGCGACTGCAACAGCTGACGATCGCGCAGCATAAATGGAACATCCACTGGCAGCTCCCGCAGTGCCTCTGCACATGCGTCACGCAGCTTGTGGACCTCGCCAGCACCCCACTCGCGGGATTGCCGGCGAACCACGATATGCTCCATGAGACGGGGTGGCAAGCGATGGGTTGCCAGATGCTTACGACGCAGACCAAGCTGCTCCCGCCCCCACCGAGCCCGCGCTTTCACCTCCTCGCAGGGAGACCGCTCTGCAAGCCGAAGAACATCTTGTAGCAAAGTGGCATTGCCCAATGAAACGGCCACTTCAATGGCATCGCACGTCGCCACAATCACACTCCGCGCGTTTTGTTCCTGTTGCTGTAGTGGTAACTGCCGCTGCGTTTTTCCCTCGCCGCGAGACACCGCACGCGGAAGCCCTGAAAACGCCGTCTCAACAGCCGAGACGGGAACCTCAAGCTGACGTGCCGCCTCAGCGAGCAGCAGTAGCAGCTTCACCGACTGAAGTTTTTCAGTCCCAGTGGCAACAGCCATACTGTGCGCCTGTAGCTGCGCCAGGAACGCCTCCTGCTGAGTTCGCAAATCCACGCGACGGCGTAGCTTGTCCAGCATGTCAGGCTGGACCCCGGCCTCCATCGCAGCTACAAACAACGCCTGAAGTGTGTCCGCCGACTCTTGCAATGGCAGCCGCGTGTCACTATCGATAAACGTCGTAATATTGACAAGAGCAACAGTTCTTTTTGCCAAGGCTTCATGAACCTCGCGGCTTTCCTCTACAAAGGCAAGGAGAGGTGCATATTGCTGTGCCTTTTCAGATGCCGCCTCATACGTGGCCAAATCCTCCGTGGCCGCCGCCTGTTGCATGCGCTCCAGAATCTCCTTCATGGAACAAAACTCATGGAGACGCATTTGTGCTTGCTCCATCTCTGGGTGCGTGCTAGTTCGAAGAGAAAAGGAATAGGCACGCCGGTGTGAAAACTCCAGTGTCGTCTTTGCGGCACTAAGGCTCTTGTATGCCTTCGCCCAGGAGAGCTTCCGCTTGATGGTCATCACCAACGCAGCCTCGTACTTGGATAGGGCAACCGCGAGGTAGCGGCGGTGCATGAGCTCCATCCTTGTCCTCGTTTCCCCTGAACTGAAGTTTGCCTGCAACTCGGCAAAGTGCGATAGTTTTGCTAATTGACCCAGAGAAGTACGATTGGACACAGTCGTTGTTGGCAGCTCGCCATCGGGAACATTCTGATAGCTGCCCCGTGACTCGTGTGGAAGGTGCCGATGGTAGTCTGTCCACGCCGCGTACGCATCCTGCAGCCGCGCGAGGAACTCTTTTCCGCGACCGTCAATGCGAAAGTACATGTCATACTCCTTTGGAACCGTGATCAGCAGAGCATCCGGCTCTACTGGGCTCAGATACACCTCCCCCAGCGCGAGCAGCTCGGTGCGTTGCAGGATCCCGAGATCACCATCCGTGCACCAGTAAATGGCACAGTTGGTGAGGACAATAATAAACATCTTATGCGTTTCCTGTGCGGAGTGGCTCACCTCGCGCGTCTCCGGCCCCGCCGTACGATTCTTCCTACGCTCCGTCTTGGGTGCAGCGGCCTCGTAGCGCCAGGCCGCACCAGAGAAGTAAATCGTGTTGTCCCCAAAACTACGACAGGCCTCAGCAATGTTGGGCACAACTGCGAGGCCCAATTCATCGCCAGCATGGTGTTTGAGTGGGCGGCGAAGCGCAAGGATGGGTTTCGAGTCAAAGACACTGTTTTTCAATGCATTCCGCACATTCTCCACATGCGGAACCTTGAAAAGTGGAAGCATTTCGTACGCATGTTGTGAACGGCGATGTCCTTCAACGTAATTCCACGCAGAGCAACGAAGAAAGACGTCCACGCTGGAGTCGCTCTCCACGTCCAGCATGTAATCGCAGGATTGACCTGGGCCTGTCATCACACCAATAATTGTCCCCTGCCCTGGATAACAGCGGACAAGGCCGACAACGTCGGGCCAGGAAAGAAACACCAGCACTCTAGGATCGTGTGTACGAACACTATCGGTTGGCATCACATCGGCGCCAACAGAGCCTTTGCGTCCCCACAAGAGGTCTTTAAACGTGCGGCATAGTTTTCCCACTCCATCATGGTGATTTAGCAGCACAATCCCTCGCGTGGAAACGCAAACCACTCGCCGAGTACCATGTTTGCTCAGCAGCCCAGGGCTCAAGATGATGCCGGTGGGAAGCGACTTCACGTCCAGATCACTGCAAATCAGAGAACACTGAATCGACCCAAGACCAAGATCTGTTGCGAAGGGCCCATTGAGCGTCAATGCGTCGGCCGCAGTGGATGGAATATTTGCAAGCATGCTTGCCTCATCGTCAAAATCCACAACAAGTTCCTCAACAAAGCGGTAGTGCGCCAAGTAGGCACGACTACCGAGTCTCTTGCTAAGCCAACTACCGCTCGCGTCCTCCGTATTATGCACCTCAGGTGCCTCTGCACTGTTAGTGTGTTGTTTACCAAAATACGTCTTAAAACGCACTGGATGCATGGAGGACAACACCCGCGAGGGAAGATTTAGGTGCTCCCTAACGGCACCAAGCGACGATAAGCCACCTATTGACTCCTCCCGTCCCCCTGGCTCCGCAAATCGGGCGTGGGCGTACAACTGCTTCGACGCCGTGGCAGGTATTTTCACCCCACAGTACTGCATTACCACTTCAGGTAGCAGCTCAATGAGGCGAATAAACTCCACACTAGAATGAACCTTGAAAAGGGCGTCAACCTCGGTGCTGTGAAGCAGTACCGTCTGGGAATCCACATCAAACTTCACGTCATGTACGTCTGGTAACGGAATCCGGTGAGTGACCTTTACTAGTGTCTCACTAAGAAGATACACAGCTCCATCGGTGATGGCAAGCGCGCAGAGTTGCAATCGGCGGTCCTCCTCCACCCGTGTGATCATGGAGGACCAAAACACAAGAGACTCCGCGTGGATGCTAAATAAGGGAAAAAGTGACTTGTTTGTCCCCACTTGCATGCGATCCTCCGGGTACGATATCAGCGGCATGTGGGGCTCCTCCACGCCGCGCCGTATAACGGCCCGCACGTTCTCCACCTCACGGAAAAGAAAACGTCGTCCGGTTTTCTGCCCCAAATGAATCTTGTACAAGTGTGCAATGAGCTGAATTTTCACACTCGCCTTCGTTCCACCCAGATGTGAATTTTGACTGTGAAACCGAATAAGAATATCATGAAAGCATGGTACAATGATGGCCAGAAGGTTGGTCTCGGTGATGCTCGCAATGACACCCGCAATCTGGTTGGTGTCAACGCACCGCGAATGCACCCTGCCCGTCAGTTTTTTTCGGGCGAACAAGTACAAGTACTGCGGCGTCAGGAGGAGGTCCCGTTCCTGTGTCGTGTCGTGTTTCCCAATCTTTTCCACACAACGAGAAAAGACAACGTTTTGGATGTTATCCCCGTGCTGTAAATGCCGCGAGAAAGACTCCAGCTTGTACGCAATGTGTGAGTAGCGCTCTTGGGCGTAGGGTAAAAGAGCAAAAGCGTGCACATCCGCCAATGTCTCCCCCTGCACAACGTCCATCGTCTGAGACATGGGTGTGGTGTAGCTGGCGTGCCCATCCTTATCACTGATGGCGTCCTCAACAAGGTCTTTTGTGTTTCCAAAGGAAAGTAGGTGCCCCAGCGTGTCGGCATCCTTGTCATCCTGAGCTCCCACGTGTGGTTGGGATTCATGCCGCACCGCTTCTCCAAGGACTCGTGAAGAGCCCTCTTCTATTTGGCCTTTGAGCTCGAAGGCATCCACCGATTGTGCGAGGTTCATATGAAAGACTTGGCCACCCTCTGCTGCACCACCCCGCTGCTCCTCAATACAATTAGCTATCAAAGGCGGGACTGTTTGACTGTTCTCACCCATTGCCGTAAGAAGCGCCGGCTTCGTCATCCCGCTTATGAGCCTAAGCCTAGCAAGGATAAATGTCACCCATTCCTCCCGTGCACTGTCATTCTCGCAACAAAACAGTAACTCTTTACCTTTAATGAGCATAAACCACCCAAACTGAGCCATTGCGCTGGGTGCCTTTGCGACCAGCAGAACATCGTGTGTGGCGTAATTCGCAGCCTGTACAATTTCCAACGGAATTACCTTGTCCCGTTGTCCAACGCTCCTTCCGTAGCAGATGGTGTCTCCTTCTACAAACACGTAGCGTCGCTTCCATTTCTGCGCCCCCAGTAGCCGCATACCCAAGAAGGACGCCGCCACATCGCCAAAGTTATGCTCAATAACCTTTTTTGATCGCGGTTTCCACATCCACGCCGCATGTGGCAACGTGATGGCCCATGGTTTTTGCTCTTGCCGTTGCTGGGACATCGTTCACAACACAACTAGGGAAATATACAACCCCGTCAAGGCTATGGGAAACGGCTGTACTATTATCCTACACCAGAGAGAAAAAAAAAAAAAAATGTCCTTGTTAAGATATCACCTGACTTTACAGCTACGTGTACCATTGAATAATAAACAAAAAATCAGGAATGCCTTCTCAACGTGTGTGTGTTTTGTCTGCGTGCATGAGGAGGTACATATACATTGAGCAATTATTGTTGTTTTTCCCCATTTTTTTTTTTTGCGTTGTTGTTGCTTGTTTCTGATGCGTTGCAGAAACCTCCTTCTGGGGGAACGATCATTCCCATGTCATCTAACGCAAAGCCAATCGAGCCGACAACCCACCACGTGTGGAAGCTAATAATTGTTGTTGTGCCTGCAAGGTTCCACTTGAGTCAAAAAACTGCATACAGAATATGCATAGTTCCTCCCTCTTGTAGAGCTGAGATGGCGGGGGCATTCGGTCGCCGCGGCGCACATCAAGGCCCCACCTCTGGCGCAACTCAAGTATGGACTTATGGGTGATCGCGCCGGGCAGTTCATCCACATAAAATACTTGAAGACACAGTGCACACTTCTTCCTTTTTTGTAGGCCTTGCTTCACGCGGAGCTGTAGCTCCTCTGGCGTGAGCTTTTCTCCACCATTTTTTTGGTGCATCTTCTGCCACCACGAATAATTGCTACAAGAAAAACATCCATAAGGGGGAAAAAAAAATTGTGGAGAGTGTGAGGTCAGCATTCATACACGTATATTATATATATATACTCGGAAAAGAATCTGAATGGTGGAAACGAAGCACAAGGGAAATAAATAAAAAAACTATTTATATATATATATATATATACTATTTATTATTATTATTATTATACTTTAAACTCTTCGGAGGTCACTTCATCAATGTGTTTTTCTATCTGAACTTCTATGGGAAAATCAACTGGAAACAACTCTGCAGTTTTTCCGTCTATATTTTCATCATTTTCTGGTAAAGACACCCGCTTGTTTCTGCGGCGTTTCTTTACAGGTGAGACCTGGGCCAATGAGGAAGTGTCATGAACCGCCTCCTCATCGGTGTGAGCTTCGTGCATTAATGGGATGACTGTGGAGTCTGCTAAATGAGGAAGACCTTTTTCTTCCAAAATGCTGTAATCCGTGAAAGCCAAATTAAAAAGAGAACGCACACACCGCAGGGAAACTTCAAATCCAAGAAACGACTGTGCTCCTCCCAAAACAGGCAACGCAAAGTCGTGCTGAGCGCCCCTCTTCTCATCAAGGAACTTTGCAAACGACGGATTAAAAAAATCATAAACCACTTGATCGCACACACGATATAGTGCATAATGAGAATGTTCACCATGGGTTAAAATATCCCTCATTATGAGCAAAAATGGAGCATTAAAGAAGACACATCCAGACCCATCAAGAAGAAAGGCACGAATCAAATACACTAAACCACTGTTTACATCCACATCATTTGCTCTCCAATGACGAAGGGAGGCAAGAATAACTCTCATGTTTTTTGTTGTGGCGATTCTTTTAAAATAGTTTGCTATACTCACCTCCCTCTCAGAACTTAAGGTGGAAAAATTAGCATGACTACTTGAAGTTAATGATGCGTTTTCCGATAAAGTTCCTCGCTCCTCACCTGTGGGTGAGATAACCACCTCCTGATTCACATGCACATCCTTCAGAAAAAGTGGTACAGGTGAAGCCATCACCACCTCACTCTCCTTCACTTCGACAATGGGATTCTCTTCATCCCCAGATCTGTTTTGCATCTCCTCCGAAGGATTCAAACCATCCACGTCGGTTTGCCTATTCATTTCCAAAATATCTGCATTACCCGTATCTTCCGCTTCATATTTCACACTTGAGTCATTCTTCTTCTCACGTTTAGGAAACAGTACACTTCCTCTAAAACTACATTTTTCCATGAGACTAAGAACAGAGTATACCAATAATACAATTATCCCAGCCTTACCTGGTGGCAAAACCTTGGCGGAAAACCTCGAAACGGACTCAAAGATTAATGTAATGTTTCCTTCGTTATAAAGTACGGATGAGGCCAAGGCATGTGCGGCAACTACTACAGCTGTATCTTTTACAATATAACCATCAATCAAGAGATTCAGAGTCATAAATAATTCGGCTAGATAAGTTATCACATTTACTACATCAAATCGTCGTCTAAGATCGGGGGAGGCTAAAAACACACGAAGCAACTCAAACCCATAACGAATATGATCAAGCGAAATAACACTAGAGATACATTTCCACTGTTGATGAAAAGCATCAGAAGGAACCTCATCATTTTCTTCTCGGTTTAAGCGAACCACCTCCCGTGTATAACGAAGTAATGATGCACATATGTTTATGTAATCAAGAACTGTTTGTGCTGATTCTAAAACAGATTTTTCAATCTGAGTAGGGAGCTCTATATCCTCACCTGAGGTTTTGTATCCTGATATCAACTCGTTGCGTTCCCTGACAACGCTATCAAACCCCTCAATAATATGTGCTAGTCGACTCCATACCATCATATTTAGGGGTTCAAAGCCAAAACAAATAAAAGAAAGACATTGTTGAGAAAGTTGTATCTTTGTTGGCAATGGTAGAATCCATGACATGTTAGAATCATCAGATATACCTTTAATAAAACGACCTTTTTTTCGCAAATCTATGTCTTGAACCTTTTCCAGTGGATCTTTGCTTCTTAAACCAAGAAGCGTTGAAGTACAACCCATTGCCCCAATTTCTCCTTGCATACGGTAAGAAGATGTACCACGCACAAGTACACCATTTGAACTGATAGCTCCATTGCAACTTTTTGCCACGTGTCTCCAGCGATCTAACTCCCTCTTGCACTCGCGAAGACGTTTTCCACTTTCAAAAAGTCCCACCATTTGCTGTGAGAATTGTTGCTGGAATTTTGACGCAAATCCTAGTTGCGCCAGTTCCACTGGATTCGCAGAACGAAGGATGGCTGACATAGCCGTAACTATGTGCATATTCCACTTCCATAGTTGTTCATCGCATTCCAAGAGTTCTATAATGTGAGCATTATATTGATCCAAAACATTCTGATTTTCTTCTGTAGAAGATGCATCACTGTCATAGCTTTCACCTTCCGTTCCCTCTTCATCTGCCTCTTCCTCTTCATCCCCCTCTTCGTCACCATCCTCAACTCCATCATTGTTTATTTTTTGCTTCATGCGAACTTGTTTGTCGTCCAATTCTATCGCAATTTCCTCGCCCAATACAACCATTTCCACTTCCTTTTCGTTTGAATCATCCAAAAAAACAACATTAGACGCATTATTCGTCCTTTGATCAGAATTGGGGTATAACTCCCCCTCCAAGGTGTTTATATCACTTGAAACCTTCTTTGATTCGCTCCTGGCATAGTTCTGATTAATAATGACAAGAAAAAGCTCAATACCATGATTTCTAGCAAAAGCCCCAATCACCGGTGGCATGGTTTCTTTTGGTCCAGTAAAAAAAAGCGTGATCATTTTCAAAACGACTTCAAGCAAGACAACATCGTCTTTTTGCATAACGCCGCTTGAACGCTTTTCGGCCACTGGAGCTACTGACTGAATCAAAAGTGTAAAAAACTCGTTCGTTCCGCATCGTTCCATGAGACGACGAACAAAATCCAACTGACGCGGTCTCTCCATTGAATACAAGGGAACTGGCAACAGCATAGCCGTTAGTAGTTTAAGCAATTGCGGCAAAAGTGTGGAGGTAAAATTCATCCCATGAGCCAAAAGAAGTGGAATCACAACATTTTCCATCACCATCATTTCACTTATAAAAATAAAATCCTGCCGTGCCAACTTTCGAACATCAGAGGAAAATCCCATATTCTCGCTTTCAAACTTTTTCTCATTTTCGCCGTCGCTATCGCTATCATCATAAAGCTGTTTCTGTCGGAGAGCCTCAATATTTTCCTCTACACGCGCATGCTCTCTTAAAACACGATTTCGAAGTAGTTTTGCGGCAGAACACGCATCAGCTACCTTTTGTCCACCAGGCAAACGAGCCAATGGAATGTTTAATGCACTGATTGCATTGAGAATTTGCTTTTTCACCGCCTCAGAAGACATATATATATATATATATATATATATATATAC